ATAAAACGTCTCGAATTTATATTATATAGTATATAATATAAATTCGAGACGTCTTATAAGCTCGTAGGGGTGCTAGAAGCTTATTTTAACTACTTTTATCTACTAACTACTTTTAACTATATAGTATATACCATTTATTTAATCATTCTTATATCAAATATTCCGAATTTGTAGTTTCACAAATATTTAGTCTACTTTCTCCTTTTATATCCAGTTTCCTTTCTGTTTCATTCGGGGTAATATTAAATATATTAGCATCAAGCTAACATTTAACATATTAGAGTAAATACAGTTTGAAGCAGGATCGTTGCAAGCCGTGGAAAACCCAACCGTAATAAAACCTGAAATAACATTTTAACAATTCAGATTTTTTTATAACTCTATGGTGAGTTAAGTTTTGTGCGTAAAATTTTTGACTGTGTTTTCTGCATTATAACTATATGTTTGATTTGGAAGCGCAGCCCTGAGGCTCGATTCCATATGTCCAGATTGGTTTGATAACTGTTTTGTATCGCAGCTATTTTTTTCAACGAAGAGTTTAGATTTTCCACCAGCCATTTAAAGTGTGCATTATTTGCTGTTTCTTCATTTTTATTTTCAAGTAAGTTTGCTGTCTATGTGGGGACTATATTCTGTTTGAAACTCATATAATCCTAACACTAATGCAATTGCGCCAATAGTTGCAATAATGTTTTTAAATCGAGATTTTTATGCTAATAGCAGTAAACACCCGATTTCCTATTTGCAGTAGACATCAGATTTGTAACGAATTGCTCATTTAAGGTAACCTAAATTCAAACTTCAAACTTATTTTAAATTGGGTGCAACAAATGTATGATATGCTCCTGCAGCAGTCGACGAATCCAGAAACCGTTGGTTTTTATGCTCTCACACCGAAATCACAAGGCCGACAAAGGAAATAAGATCAGATCATCTGCTAGAGATAAGTATCTCACATCGGCCAGAGACACGTCAAGATAGCAAAATGTGTTTAAGGTGACAGTGGCGGCAATGATTATTAAATATTCAAGGTATACGTGATAAATTATTAGTAAATTAAATAATAAATTTAAATAATATTAAATAAAAACTTTCAATTTCAAAATATCATACTATGTACTGATATATATGTAATTTGAAACCTTGATTCTTACGATTGCAATCGGGAGAAAAGGGGCAACGTTTAAATATCAATAACAGAAGTATTTCTTGTGTTATTTTGTTTTGATTGTGAATACTATTGCTTAGTTTGCGAGATAATTATATATATATTAGTATAATTTTCAAGTATACCTACGCTTTTTAATTAAAAAATATATTGTTATTTTTGAGGTAAATTCAACGATTTTTTATTCAAATAACTTTTATAAAAACTTACCCCTGTAAGTACCCTTTGTTGGGCAAAAGGGACCAACTAAACCTTCAACCTGGCAAAGGTGTAACAAACAAAAATTGGCAAATAAAAAATAAATCAATTAAAATAAGCAATTGTACAAGATAAAAATTAAATAAATAGTTACTTCAATTTTGCATTGGTTGAATAATGTAGCTATTATTTTTTTATGATATTTAATTGTTTTGGTTTTCACAATATTTGTTGCTCGTCCTACCCTAGCTCGTCCTTTAGCAATTATATTGCAAAAACCAAACGAACTGCATCACACATACAACTACATCAAAATAAATAACACATACAGACAATGGTAGAACTATATTTTTTTATATTTTTCAAAAATTTGTCATCTGATCCATGGAACAGCATGGGAGCAAAAAAATTCACTGTTCGATTTTTAATCTTAAAGTTTTATGGAATAATAGCTACATTATTTAATCAATGAAACTCAGTTTAATTATTAGGTTGAACAATAAAATTAGAAATCACAATCTAAATATGTAGCCACTTTTAAATATAATTAACAAAAAACTTTATCAACTTTATATCTTACTTTATATCAACTTATTATAAGTATTTCTGTTTAATTTATCATAATCTAACTCTCAAATACAGTGAATTTCAGTGAACCTTCTGTTTGAAAAACATATTTTATGGGCACATTTTTCATAAAAACCGCATTGCATATAACCTTCACATGAAAATTTGTCAGAACAATTTATCAGCAGAATAAGAATAACTATTAATTTAATTTGTCTTTTGAAAATAACCTATTTTACAATTTCACGAACAAGTTTCATATTGTTCACACCTCGCACTTCTTAAAGGTTTATGAGGTTCTTTTTACCCCAACCGCATGTAAGCTATTCTAAAGGTTATAGAAATAATATAGTTGAATCAAACATAAAAATAATACTACATCTTAAAAACAATTGAATAACATTAACGTAAAAATTACATTCAGGTGTCGTAAACAATAACAGAAAGACTAACAAAGAAGAAAAAGCTTTTGTTACGTAGTTGCAAAGTCACTCTACTTTCAAATATTCTTGTTAAAAAATTCTATTTTCGGTTCCTGAGATAATGTGAGTGAACTTTTTTACCCGCGGACCTTGAAGCCCCGCTTTACCCTATATATGTACAGTCGTACACACATGTATATATATTTATATATATATATATATATATATATATATATATATATATATGGGCGTAAGTGTGTGTGCGTGCATGTGTTCATATTGTACATATATAAACATATACATGTGTAGATATATATACATATACATGTATAGGGGTGGATTCATTTTTGTTCCGCTATGTTGTAATGTTATAATGATATTATAGCATATTAATACGCAATATTAAATTAACTTGAATTTCACAATCCTTGTGCAATAATCAATGCAATAATCAATAATCAATCAGAACAATATTAACTATTACCTATTTTCAATATTTAAAACACAGTAATAATAGTTTCATAAACACAAAGAAATAATTAAGTAATAACTATTATTTGATATGTAGTATTTAATATGTCACAGTTTTATATATAGTAAATTGTACATATATTATTTGTATTTATTTATCATTACAATTAATTAAAGAATAAGTAAAGACCGCCTATTGTATGAGTCAAATTTATTTTAAGTCTAAACGGTGGGTTATTATTTGGACACATACTATTACTATTAATTAAATCACTATTCTAATTAAATCACCATGGCCTCGTTATTGTTTAATTTTTTGTATGATACTTTTATTAGAACGCCACTGTCATACTTATTTTTAAGGCCTGCGCACAAAAGCACTAAGGTGTTCTTCTTCACATATGTAAATTCGTGAGAATAGATATGGGTGCTTGAGTTAAAACTTACTTTATTGCAACGATGATGATATCTCAATATTCACAAATTAAAATTGAGCTTTAGAATATGAACCCAGACGAAAATATTTTATTTCGACATAAGTTCAAACCACATGATCTTTCTACAAATGCATAATTCTTAATATACTTATTTTACTGCAATAAATTATAAAGATGATAAAAACATATGAGCCTAACTAAATAAATTGTGATATAAAGTTTTTTTTTTTATTTATTTGAACAGCGATCAGAACTTATGAGTTGTTGTGAAGAATTTCTTACAAACTACGTTATTATAGATGGCAACCCAAACAGTTATCTCTATATGATGAATTTTATTATTACAATTATTGTAATAGTGATGACTTTCTATTGGTGCAGCAATGCCGTATCAGTGCAGTTTTCACTTGGAAACATATTGTTATCTATATTTCCAAGTGAATGTGAGCAGTGAAACTACTGCTTGACAACAGTCTCCTCGAAGAGGATTCGAACACGGGACCCCTGATCCAGGTCAGGTCAGAAAGTAAATTAAGTTAAACAAATAAATTTTACAAGAGATAAATTAAATAAATTTCAACTCTGTTGATGAATATTTCTGACGAAATACGGGATCAAATTTATATACAGTTATCTTATCTAAAAAATGCACCCATGAAATTCATATTTTGCATTGGTTGAATATGAGGTAGCTATGGTTTTGTATATTTTTTTAAAATAAAAATAAGACATAGGACTTGTTTGTCCCCTTGCCGTCCCATTTCACCGCATCTATGGGGTAAAAAAGACCTGGTCGCAAACTTTTCATAAACAGCAAAATAAATACATTTATAAAATGATGAATTAGCTGGGTGTTTTACTGAAAATATTCCGATAGTTGTTCGCTTGATGTGCGGTATTTGTTACGATATAATTGATTTGGTTTTCACAATTTAATTGGTCAAAGTCAAATTGGATCTTTTGAAACCGCACTACCCTACCCCTACCCCGCCTGTGCCCTATTTAATTAATATATAATGATTTCTTGAATAATACTGAACAAATATAAACTCAATAAGATAACACAATTGCTTAATAAAGAAACAAAAAATATAATGAAGCGCCAAGTAAATAAAATATATGTATTAAACACTATTCACAGCATATCATATGATCTATATACTTAAATCGATATATAAGCACTAAGCATTGTTGAAATCAATCTCTGTCGGAAAACAAAAACATAACATCATCGACCCAATGTACCATGTACCCATGTATGTTACTTACAATCGGCGCGGCGTCGTACAACGTCATTTGTCCTTTCAGTTCTCTGTCCTCGTCGATCGATCGCGGGTCGCCCATTTTGTGAAATCGCTTTTCGCGGTCCCGTCTTCCGAGGCGTGACTCGCACGGGTTCTCGCCGACCAATAGGAAACCCGACGGCAACCACGCCTGAAGCAAGAAGCGTCGGCTGCTGTAGAGCGACGCGCAGGGTTCAGTCGATCGGTGAACGCCGTGCATTTAGGACAATTGTAGCCGTACGTTTTGCGTACGCTCATTTCGTTCTTTGTATTCATAATTTTCCGCGTCCGTTTATACGTGCAAGTGTTTTGTAATTCAGTGCTAATATAATTGTTCGACAAATATTTTCTTCTAAAAAAAGTTGTTTCTGTTTCTAACATAATCAATGGATTATTACAAGCGAGAATAAAGTAATCATACCTTGAGTGAATACTATTGTCTCTTGGTGTCAGTCTTTGGTCAGTGCATGTGCCAGTCAAGTTGGTATTGATTCGAGTTTTGGAAATTGGTAACTTCAATCAGTCGCCACATGGTCATGGCGGACATGGGTGGCCCGCTGGCGCACCAACTTCCTTTGCACCAGCATCGCGGGGGCCTTGTACAACCGTCGCTGGTCATGAACCACAGACTGGACGTCGAATTAGATCTCGACTTACACCCTAGTAAGTCACGAAATAATTATATATCGGAAATAATATATTGTGGTGTTAGCTATTACTACGATATTGAGATACTAAAGCCAAATAAGAGCTAGGGGCTGGTTGGTGGTTGTTTAAACCTATATATCTTAAAATCCACTGTTTGTATTTCTACGAAATAAAGATGGATAGTGGCTGTAACTATTTCTCTACCAAATCAAATCCAAATAATTCCACAACTATTGTTCATTTATTTCACAACAATTAATCAATTTCTAGAGAAAAAGTGCGGTGTTTCAACTTACCTCTTATTTGGGGCTAGTTGTAACGTCTATCCAGGCAAGTAGTAACCACAATAATATGCCTCGGATAATTTATTCTTTATTTATTTTTAAGAAAATTGATCTGTTTCTAAGTAATTTTTTATAAATAATGTCTACTATAATATGTTTTTTATCATAAATAATAAAACGTGAACTACAGTTATTAATTATTATTATATAACAATACAAACAAAAGGTGTAGTGACTCCTGTAACACAATTTACATTTGCCCTCATCTTACAAACTATAAAATCCACCCAATTTTTTTCACTGTAATTTGCATGTTATTCTTATATAGTACAACTAGCCTCCCTCAAGGTTTTGTTTCAACTAACCCCAGATGTGGTTCTTCCACATTAATCAAGATAAATATTTGAACAATTTAGCAATCACAAAAATTGTAGCACATTTTGATAAATTTGAAACACAATAATAGTATTTAAAATTAGTCGATAATAATAACGCAAATCGAAATTTTATGATAGTACATTTTTATATTACATCAAAAATGACGGACCTGACTATGATAGGGTGGGATAGTATTATATAGGACGATTTACATGTCCAATGAGACAGAAATATTTTAATATTTTTTAGGATCCTATTGCAAAACGCCTGTTACTGCATACCCCTGTTTCAGATAGCCCCTGGTTTTCCTACCTATATAATAAGTAGAGAAGTAGAATTATTATCAAAGCGTAATATTTGAACTAGTTGTGTATGGCATCGTGCCTTAAGGCAAATTTCTGGAACTTCCCTTACCGTAACGAAATGTTCGAGGAATATTAAATGTTTTCAAATAGATTATTGTAACATAGTCTAATATTTATAAGAATTATATACACTGAATTGCAAAGTTGAAATTATTTGTTTAAAATATATTAGAACTTTAATCAGAATTAAAATTAAAATCTGAATTATTTTCGATATACAAAAAATTAAAAAAAAATGACAAAACAAACAACAATTTTGTCAAAACAAGCAGAAAGTTTTTTGAATCATTCAAATCCGATGCTTAGTTCTCTCAAAAACTGTCATTTTTTGCACAATTAGCACAGCATCTCCAAAACTGCTGGACTTGCCTTTGCCAAAAACTAAACACAACTTCTCCTTATCATTACAAATTGAATGTTTTTTGGATCATTCAAATCGGATACTCCTTTCTCTCAAAACTTCGATTTCTATAAAAACTAATCAGCAGATCTCTCTATCAATAGAAAACGAATGTTTTTTGAACTATTTAAAACGATTAATTCGTGCGCGCGAAAACGTGAACGAAAAAATGCGGACCCACACATACACACGCACATCCATTTTTTCTGAGGTACGCCAAAATGTACAGAAACTTCAAACGTATTTTCATTTTTGATTTTCGGCTCATTACTATAACTACCCTACGGAAAGTTAATAAAGTCAAAAGAATTCTTTATTATTATCATAAAGAATAATGAACTAGACAATTGTCTTCCAAATTTTTGCTTTTTGCATATACATTTTTCTATAGTCATAGTCATAGTCATAGTAATACATCAATAATATATATTTTTATATTCGGTTTTTGTTTATGTTTTATCAATTTTTTCCATACACGCACAGACTTGACTTTTTTAACAGTAAAAAACGAACACTTCCGAAACATATACTTTATGTTTATACAAATTTTATTTCGTCAATGCTTTATGCTACAATTTTCCTCTACAATTCAATTTCAATTGGATACAAAAGTTACATTTATTCAGAGATGTTCCTAATTAAGTATCCATCGAAATGATGAATTTAATGTTACAAAATTCCAAATATGTAAAGTAATGATACGGTTCGACGACACAAAGTTGCCGACAAATGTTGATGCATCAAACGCCTGTATCTTACAATTAGACAAATTTTCGAAATTTTTGTGTTATATATATATATATATATATATCTATATCTATATATATATATATATATATATATATAAGTAATATATAATATATAATAAAGTTTTCGGAACTTCGATAAGTTATAATAAAACTTTGCTATTATCAAAAAATCACGCGTTATTCTTCAGTTTCTCTAATATATGTAATATAAAACATTCAATGGAAAATAATTTGTATATAAAAATATATATTGAACAAATTTTAAAAATAGCAATTAGATTGTATATTATTTTACTACAGTAGCAATATAGAAAAATAATTTTATCTTTTCTATTCTAGATTATAGACTTATAGAAGTATTTGAATTTTTTTTTTTGCATAATCTACTATTTATTACAAATATTTTATTGTTGATATGTTATTTACTTATTAAATACACTAATAATATCGAATTCCTCCAAAGTTTGCTTAAAATAACTTTGTTTTATCAACTTCCGTAGGGTAAGTTATTGTAATCGTCCAAAAATCGTTATTGGACATTTTTGCATATCTTTACGTTTCAGAAGTTTCTGAACAATTTGGAAAACCGTAGAAAAAAATTGATGCATGTGTGTATGTTTGAATACAATTGATCAATCCCGATTTTGGGCACACCGTTCAGCCGAGTGATGATTAGATTTTAGCTAATACAGGTCCAACCGTTTTGGAGATACGAGGCTAAATGTGTAAAAAATGGCAACATTTGACAGAACGAAGCATCCGATTTCAACGAGAAAACACTTTTTGCTTGTGTTGACGAAACGATTTGTTTTATTTCAAGATTTCAAAAAAGTTAATTTTCATGAAAGTGATCAAGACTTTTTCAAGTGAACGAGTAAATCTGAATGATTAATTGAGCATTTTGAAATGAATTTTATTATTATTTTTATTACTACCTTATGCCGATAATTTTAAAATTAATTAATTCTAATTGAATATGATACATTTTAAATGCATGAATCATTGAATAAAGTGGTTATTCGTTTTTTATTCATAAAATTTAATTATATTATTAGTGTAAATGTAAATGTAACTTTTTGTTTGAAAATACGTACTTACCATAAACTGTATAAAAATTAAGAAACAAAAATTTAATAGGATTAAATTAAAAATTATTTAGTAATCAATTTTGCATGAACAATGTTGATAATAAATTATTGAATTTTACAAAAGTATAAATGTAATAGTGTATGAGTGAGGGTGTACACGAATTCTATTGGGGTGGCTGGGACTTTTAGATCCAAATATAATTTTTTGAAAATGTTCTATAATATTTTTAATCGGTTTTCTTAAAATATACTATGTTACTAACTTCCCGTAGGGTAGTTATTGTAATGAGCCGAAAATCGAAAATGAAAATTTTTACATATCTTCACGTTTTGAAGGTTTCTGAACATGGTATGCCTATACCTCAGAAAAAATGGATGTGTTTGTGTGTGTGTGTGTTTTGTATGCTCGCATTTTTTCGCCCACGTGTTTGGGCGCACGGATCAACCGATTTAAATGGTTCGATTCCTCTTGATAGGAGATGTGCTGATAAGTTTTTGGCAAAGGCAGGTCCAGTCGTTACGGAGATACGGAGCAAAGAGTGCAGAAAATACAAATCGAGTGTTTGAGAGAACGGAGTATCCGATTTGAATGATCTAAAAAACATTCAATTTGTAATCATTGAAAGAAGAAGTGATTAGTTTTGGCAAGGGCAGGTCTAGCCATTTCGAAGATACAGGGCTAAATGTGCAAAAAATGGCAGTTTTTGAGAGAGCTAAGCGTCCGATTTGAATGATTCAAATAACTTTCTGTTTGTTTTAACAAAATAATTGCTTTTGGAAAAAAAAATTGTTTCAAATTTGTTTTTTTTTTCAATTTTTTTTTTTTGTATATCGAAAATAATTCAGGTTTTAATTTTAATTCTGACGAAAGTTCTAATATACTTTAATCAAATAATTTTAACTTTGTAATTCAGTTTATATAATTTTATAAATATTGGACAGTATTATTACAATATTTATAATAATCTATTTGAAAACATTTAATGTTCTTCGAATATTTCGTAACGGTACGGGAAGTTCCAGCAATTTGCCTTGAGGCACGATGCCATACACCACTAGTTTTAATTTTAATATGTATACATACATATTTGTTGTACATATCGTTTTCATTGGAAAGATGGCATTTCATTGAAACAATGCCAGAAATCTGCGATTTGATAAAGAATGATCATGATGCACGATTTTTTTGATCAAATAGCCGTGGCTTTCCGAATTAAAATACAAAATTTATTTTGTTATTTACCTTGCAATAAAAATAACACCATGAAGTATTGGATTGAATAGTGGTGCATTCTAATATAACATGACGAGTAAAACGCTTGTGCTATAAAATTGTATGGGCACATGGATTCAGATGTTATAAATATATCTCCTTGATGATATTTTGCACAATATTTTGGTAAATATATTAATATCGTCGACGTAAAGATATAAAGTATTCTTAAATATTTAATATTTTGTGTGTACAAACTGTTTAAAAGTCAGTTAGATTCTTTACATTACAAGCATTTTTAAAAATCAATATACAAGTATATAGAAAGTAATATTTGCATTTTCGTTGTTTTGGCCTCGCTAACGTAGAGCTTTTAGCGACAACATTTCATATATTATATTCTATATTCTCTTTATATATTCTAAATATCTTTTTATATGTATGTAGGGCTCTTCTAGCGGGTCTTAAAAATCCGCGGGTAAAAAGATCCACCACCGATATCTCAAAAACAAATAAGGTTAAGTATTTTTTATTAACAATATTTGAAAGTAGAGGGAAAAAGATGTATAATTAGCTATAATATTGATTCCTACGGCGTTGATATCTGGAGATTAACGGCAATGTTTGAAAATCTATAACAAAAGTATTTTATTTCGTTGTTAGTATTTTTGGTTGTGAGCACTTTGGTTTAGTTCACGAGACCTTAATATAATTTTTAAGTATACGTTATTTAATTGTTTTATAAAATGTATTATTAATTTTAAGTTATTTTCAACAGTTTTTTTATATAGCCCATATAAAAGCCTACAAGCCCACCATAAAATAGTGAACAAAAAAGTGAATTAAGTTTTAAAAAAATACATTGATAAATTAAATAAATAGTTATTGCAACTCTGCTGAAAAACATTTCTGACAAAATTCTAGATCAAGGTTATATACTGTGTTATCTCTGTAAAAAATATACCCATAAAATTTATATTTTGCATTGGTTGAATGTTGTAGCTATCATTTTGTAAAATCCCATTGCTATTCTATTCTATTTCCTTTATTTGATTGCTCTTTACACCTGATTTCTTCATTTTTCTTCCTCCTCTGTAATCTTACTTTTCTTCATACTTTTAATTCTATGCAATTTCAAATCAACAATTCAAATTATATTAAATTTTAACTCAATATTTCAAGTTTTATGTCATGGCCAAGGATCGATCTGAGGATCACTAACGTTTGGGTCGTAATCGCCGATGTATACTTAGGAGACGTCCATTAATCACGTGATCTAATTCTAAGGATTTTTAGACTCTTCTCTTTCTTGGTGATTCGTGGTGATATTTAAAATTACCCCCTCCCTCAGCAAACTATTTAGTTCTAGTTTAGTTCCTAGAACAATCGTAACATTTTAACTTTCCGTAGAGCCAGTTACTGTAATCGTCTAAAAATTGAAAATAAAATTTATGAACATTTTGGCATACCTTCCTAGAAAAAATATATGTGTGTGTGTGCTTTGTGTAGATACAACTTTTCGTCTACGATTGCGGGCGCACGAATCAACCGATTTGAAATATTCAAAAAACAGATGGGAAGGCGTGTTGATTAGATTTTGGCAAAGACAGGACCGGCCGTTTCGGAAATACGAAGCAAAGATCGCAGAAAATAGAAATCGAGTTTTTGAGAGCGATTATTCTGTATAAAGTTGCATCAGCTTGTGATGTCGATTCCATCGACAAACCGATTTTGGTATTGATCAATGGGCAGCTCTACACCGGATATGTTATAACATGCAGTATAATAGCCGAATAGCCCGACAATAAACCGTGCCATAAACCGCACAGCGAGAATACGAACCCGAGTCTTTTGAGTTTCGCGCCCTCGCTCATAAATAACCCGCGGTTGCCGTGTTACCGCTCCGCGAAAGAGAAGCTCCTTATATGGTCTATAACAAGGGCGAGCAACCTTTTTAACCCACGGGCCAATTTCAATTTTAAAATTTCATGGCGGGCCGCACGGAATTTATATATACTAGCTGACCCGGCAAACGTTTTGCCTCAGGAAATATTTTTAGAAAATCATTAGTGTAAAAAATGGCTAACTAATTCTGAATGTATAAATATGTAGTATATAAATGAAAGGAGCACCTAACACAAAAATACATTGATATTTGTATTATGTTATGCTAGGCTTAGCGAAACGAATGAGATTTCAATAACTCTAAAAAAAAATCTAATTTTATTTAAAAATCAGTTTTATCTTCAGATTTTAATATTAAATTTTAACTTTTAGCTAGAATTGCTCCTTCTGAAAGATATTCAAATACTATGTACTTCTTATGCACATCATAAAATGTTTGTACAATAGGATAAGACTGCAAATCAGTTAGTTTTATCGGATGTTACCATTTCGTTGCCAATATCTAAGATTTGTTTTTAAAAATTTGCAACGAATAGAGCCGAGAGCTTTTCTATAAGCTCAGAAAAATCTTAATTAAACTTTAAATCTTAAAGTTAATTGATGAATTATTGAGCTAAAATGACTATTATAAGAGAGTAAAATTTGGAGTTGCATGTAGTTTTCCATTCCGTATTAAAAAAAATTAAAATAAAGAATAAAATTCAAAAAAATTGTTTCGGTTGTACAACCCATGAAATAATAAATTGCTTTTTCTTTTTGAATAAAATTGAAGATTTTTTATAAACTCAAAAATCTGAACTAGAATTAAGTCAAAAATATTCATTGACTTAGTGCGGGAATAATGTAATTGCAACAAAATTACAAAATTGCAACAAGAAAAGAACAGATATACAAAATTGAAAAAAAGCATATATTTTATATTTTTATATAATTACGAGTGTATATTATAAGTGTATATAAATATTAATATAAAATGAAAACAAATAATAGTTAAACAGAGAAACTAATTTACTTGAAAACTTTAACGCCTTTTTTTCAAATCTTGCTCTTCATTTTAATTAACTTCCCGTAGGGTAAGTTATAGTAATCGCAAAAAAATCGAAAATGAAAATTTTTATATATCTTTACGTTTCAGAGGTTTCTGAACATTTTGGCATACCTTAGAAAAAATGGATGTATGTGTGTGTGTGTGTGTGTGTGTGTGTGTGTGTGTGTGTGTGGGTGTGTGTGTGTGTGTGCGTGTGTGTATGTATGTGCGGATACAAATTTTCGTCGACGATTTCGGGAACACGGATCAACCGATTTGAATAATTCAAAAAACATTCGATTCGTATTGATAAGGAGACGTGCTGATTAGTTTTTGGCGAAGGCAGGTCTAGCCGTTCCGGAGATACGGGGCAAAAAGTGCCGAAAACGGCAACTCAGTTTTTAAGAGAACGGAGCGTCCGATTTTAATAATTCAAAAAACATTTTACTTGTATTGACAAGGTAAAGAATTGATCAAATTTTCATAAAGGCAGGTCTAGTGGTTTCGGAGATCTAACGAAAAAAGTAAAAAAAAATGCCATTTGGCGGTCAAAAATGATCATTAGACATATGCACATCAAATTTTCAGATATTTTATAGAGATTTTAACAATAAGTATAAATTTTGTTTATTTTCCTATGGGTTCCGTATCAATGTTTACCCGTTAGACAGCGACGCCGCGCTTACGCGCTTTATATTTTGTCTCTATGCAGTTAAAGCAGTACGATTGCTTTGAAAAACAAGTTCAGATCTTCCAAAATATGTCAAAATAAAGAAAACATTTTTTTTTCAAAAAAAAAAATTTAAAAAAAATTTTTTTTTTTTTAAATTTAAAAAAATTTTTTTCTTTTTTAAAAAATTTTTTTTTCAAAAAAAAGTAATTTTTTGTCCAATTTATAGTTTCTCAAAAATCTTATTTTTTTCGAAGTAAATTTTTTTCAAAAATGTTAATCGTTTTTAAAAAAAATAATTGTTGGTACGGGAAGTTCCAGCAATTTGCCTTAAGGCACGATGCCCTAATTGCCTTAAGACAGAATTCCACTTACAGCTAGTTTTTTTAATGCGTATGCAACTTTGATATATTACACTCAATTTTGATCACTGGATTTTTTTTTATGAATTTCATGGTTGAAATTAATACAGATCCACAAAAATGTTATCTGAATTGGGTGTGTGGCATATGTTTTCCCATGTACCTTTTCTATAAATCTATAGTCAAAATTGGAACTCAAAATTGGAACGCAAAATATTTGAAAACTGGCAAATCATCAGTTCATAAATTTTCCTAAATGAATTAATTATTTTCCAACAGCTTTTCTTTTGTGGACTTGTGTAATTATTTGCACACATAAGTACTTCAAAAAAAAGAATTTACCATAATTTTCTTTGCGTTTTTTGATGTTTACCGAAAAAATACATTTTTTAATCTGTATTATTTGGCATGCTGATCACTTTCTGTGATGGTTTTTATACAGTGTACCTACATCAATGTTA